CCTTGTAGGTGTTTTTCTTGTTGCTCTGTCCTCCTTTAAGACATTGAGTACTTTTGTTATGGTCATTGAGTTTTCTTTTATATGTAACTACATGATAATTTTGGTGTTTTACTTATTTCACGTTTTGTAACCATAACAACTGATAGAATTTCACTTGGCGGGGATTCATCTTATTTTTACACTGTCTTATTTAAAAGAACATGGTGGGGCTAAGAGTGAGGTTTGGTGCACCATTAGCCGGTTTAAACTTCCCAGAAGTACTTATTCTGCTGACCGTTCCAAGGGGACGCCCATCTGTGTTCCTAAGATTTCTGTCTTGTTGTTTCATACTGTTTTGGTTACACTTTTGTTTGTTTCCCTTGTTTTCTCGTCTACGGTACGTATCTTCCCTTTTGCCCCTAGTCTTATTTCTTTATTTCTCCCTTCCATGAATTTTTTATACCCTTCCCCTGTGCCTTTTTACTTAGTGGACCTATCAATCAATCAAGCATTTATTTGTTTTCTTTGATTTTCATTTCGTTATCGGTTACTATTATTTCTTCAATTTTCTGTGTTTATTTAGGGTCCTCCTTGGCTCCCTGCCACTATTTCTAATTGCTGGGTCGTTTGGGTGTTGCGTTCAATGAGCACCGCCTTTCCTTGTTGATCTTGCTTATCATATTTGACTTTTTGTCGATGAAGAAGCAATTCTTCGAGCAAAGGAAGATAAGGAAATTTAGGATTGACAAAGGGAGCAAGGTAACCATTGTTGATCGCATAAAGCAATATGCTGACACAATTGATCGTTGAAAGGATTCATAAACACAACTTTTTATAATAGTGTTTCGAAAAGTTTTCTGAAGTGCGGTTAAAGTTCTGGACGTTCTGTTGTGAAATTGGTTTTACGAAAGTGTAGAACTTATCGTTATTATAAAAGTGGACTATGTAAGAGACACTTTGCACCATTGCCGTCTTCTAGAGTAAAAAAACAGTACCCTATTCTTAAAATGGACTTGATTTCTTCGGACCGCTCTTGATTTAAATAAAAGAAGGGCAACAGAAGATGTGAATTTTTGTTTTTCGTGTAATAAGCTACCAGTACCATTCATATGGAACTTTTAGAAGACATGTCAGTAGAGGAAATCCTGTATGGATTCAAACGATTTTCTCAAAGAGGGTCACGGACAGAAATTGTTATTGACAGTTGGCAAATTCGCTGTTCAAAGCGGCAAGTGAAACAAAAAACATCATATAGAGAAATATTTTCAAATTCTAGAATTTTTAGAATCAAATACAAATGCATTGTAGAATTAGCTCCGTGGATGGGAGGAGCAATTAAAGACTAGTGGGCATTGTCAAAAAGTGTCATACAAAGGTCATGAATCACTTACTTAAATTCAATTACAAACAATATTATAAGAAGTTGAAGCAACAATAAATTCAAAACCACTGGTGTACGTAAAAGAAGATTTTATTTCAAATATTACACTTTAAACGAATCGTTTCCTATGATTGAATCCAAATATTGGTATTCTGAATATGGTGACAGAAGATTTTTCTGCACATGTAAGTACAAGTGATAAATAACTGGCAATATGGAAAGAATTCAACATGTTTTAAAAGGGTTCTAGAGAATTTGGAGAAACGAATATTTGACAAACCTTCGGGAACGTACTGAGCCAGAATTGATAAAACAATCTGGACAAAGTGTGATCTCTCGGAAGCATTAATTACAACAAAATTAAATAAAAATTGCAGACTCGGTTTGAGTCAGTCTGTACATGAAAAGGAATTAAAATTTTATAAAAATGTTAGTTCAGACGAGGCGTCACAAGACAGAACGACGGAAGGAAATGTTATTTATCTGTAATTGTGTACATTTTCTTTATTTTCTTTTTTATGTAATGGTATTATACAACCTTTGATCCAGATTTCAAGAAAAATGAAAAATTCTAAAATATTGTTCAAAAGCTTTGTTATATGTTCAGATAAAATCTCGCTGTCTTCTATAAAATATTCATTTAATAGACTATCTATCCCAGTTGTGAATTTTATAATGTGTAATGTACTTATGTAAAATAGTACTTCCATCTTTAAAAAAAACAGGATCAAAATCATTTAAATCATAGACATTGTTAAAATATTCTGCTCTTTCATTCAAAGAAAAATATTTACCACAAAGAACATAGCTTCAAAATATGTTTTAAAATCATGCAAAAGTATTTCACAATTATTACTTCCCCTTTTGCTTTAAAAATAGCGCCAAAAATCACGCGGCTTACTTCTTCAAAATCTTCTTTATTATATTTTCAAAATCCTTGTTTCCATTGAAATTACGTGGCTTACCAAATACATTTGTTGCCATTTGAAACAATGACGCATTTTAAACAACACATTAATACTAGGCTTTAAAGATATACTATGCTCAAATTTGATTTTAGAAAATATTAATAATTGACAAAAGTCTATTTCTAAATATAAAATAAACATGTTTTGACTTCACACTTAGTTGATATGTTATGTTTAAAAGTTTGCAAATTATAGTGGTCAAAGTATGAATATATAGTTTAATTAAAGAAAATATCAACTTTACTTGACCGGTAATAAGTAAATTAGTTCTTTCATAATTTTATTCACAGTAGGCATATTCAATAAGAATTTTATCAATTTCAATAAATTCCTGCGATTAGAATATTTTACTCAATAATAAGCATAGTACATGTATATCTTTAAGTTTAACTTATTATAATCGAACAGACTCTGAGTGTGACATATTTATTAATAAACTTCATTTTTGTACAATTAATCGATTTGTTTTCATGCAGTCTAAATCAAACCATTTAAAAGAATCATCAATTAAGATACATCAAATCTTTGAAATGTACATGTTTGTTTTCTAAAAAAAAGAGGATCTGTCACCTCTACAACACCGTATTATTTACACTGCTTATATTATTTACAACATCACATCTCAATTATACACCATTCAGGGAGGCTATGCTGCTAATTTTTCAAGAGCGATATAATCCTTTATCATAATCATTATCCATTTATCTTTTATACTCGTAGTTTAATACTTTGGATCCATCTACGTTAACGGAGTACATAAATGTCAAATGTAAAGCATCATGACCGTTAAATTCAGTAAATTTACTGACATGACATTTGTTATAGTTTCAGAGTCTTTATCATTCAATAATAAATACTCTTTCCAGCTAGTATCAGTGTAGTTCTAACATGTAAAAACACTTTTTTCCGAAATCCTAACCTTAGCGATTGTTTGCTTTTCTAAGTGAGATAGTTTTACATATGTTTATTGCTTTATTTCCATATGAGTTACTTCCTTTGTCTATTGAAAATCATGGCAAGAGTGCATCAATACAATAATCATCTGATTCGATGTCGGGCACAATTTGATCACATCTTATATAGTCATGTTTGCATTGTGTCCTTGTATTACAATCACCTGAAACTAAAACCTACCGTTCTATATAATTTTACAAACAGTTAAATTATAACATGAAAACCCTCATAATACAACACTGCAAGAGCAGCAGTGATACGTTAGCAAGAATGTCATTTTGAATTTATTCCCGTTAACCATTGAGTATTGTTTGCATATCAGTCATAAATATCATTAATTTGTCGTCGCTAAAGGTACGTCTAGCAATCAGTTTATGAAACTGTTTGTAACTATCACGTTAGTAATCATTTTAAACTAAACGAAATCAGATTAAGCATGATTTATTACGGAGTAAAATTGTCATCATAATATTATTAAATAGAACTTTTGTGCAAATAACAATATTAATTTTTTTATATAATTCTGTTTGAAATTATTGAGAGATTTACGTGAAAATAACTAGAAGAAAATAAACGGAAATCGTTTTAAGCTTATTTAGTAGTGTTTATATTTAATATTCAGCAAATCACCAAAATTTTAATATTTTCATATCCAACAGATCAAAACGGTTCATCTGAAAACGTGTTTGATCAAGTAAGCAAAAGTTGCCTTATCATTTTTCAAGAAAAGGGGAACGAAGAATTATACCTGAAGCAGTTATAAAAAATATTGTAGCATTTAACGTTACAGAACAGCTTATTTTACACATGTGAAGCAATATTCGAAATATTTCAATTTTGAAATTAGAAAACTTGTCTTTTTAACATTCATGGATTGTCGATATTTAGAATATAAGTATTTGAATCTAACCGCAAAATGTACTTATTGTTTTACTTTTTATCTAAACAAAATATATATATATGTCATGTTTTTACGTACTAGTGTTATTGAGAACCCTTTTTTTAAAAGGGGGCGTCCGTGGCCGAGTCGGTGGTTCTACTCAGGTGCCCGTTCGTGCCTGAAATAATGTCTTCCTCCACCAGAAAAGCTGGAACGTCGCGAAATGACCTATACTGTGTCGATGTGACGTAAAACCCCCCAAAAAATTAAAATATTTTTTATAATTTATTTCTAATCACAAACTTATCTTTTTCATAAAAAGTATCATACATTCATCGATCTTTTGAGTTAATGATAATGATATTACCATAATATCTATCTAACTTGAAACTAATTTAAATGATTAAATTGTATTTTACTGCAATAAGATTAAACTTATTTTCCCTTTCAAAATTACTTTTACTTTATTTATTTATATAAAATGAGATTCATAAAGGGAATATATAAATAAAGCATTAATTGTAAAAATATGTTTAAAGGTCCTGTATGTTTTGACATTATGGTTGTATACACCACTTGCGTGAAACTATATACGAGTATGTATATAATTATGCTAATAAAACAATTTCTAAACATCGAAGAATACTTAAAATATGTACTGGAAATATTTGTACGTATTAAATGTAATCATTAAATTAAATGCATTCATTTCTTATTGAAAATTTGACTTAGAACTTATAGAAAACAAATTTCTAATTACCTCCCTTTTATTTTCATGAAATATTAAATTCGGTAATATCCTTATAAATAATGCTTTTTAGAAATAACAATTTTGGTAAATCTTAATTTGAGCATCATATTTTATATTAAACCATAAAAAATGTGTGACAGGATCTTAAAGGTGAATCATTGGTGCTCCGGGGCTCTTAAAAAAAATTTATGATATTACCTTTCGGATGGATTCGAATCTTCGTGCACGACATTTCTGTGCTTTACGAAGTCAAGATAGATTTTAAAATTTGTAAAATAGTCTTCGCTTTAGACAGAAAGTATTTTAATGTTCAAACATATGCAGAATAATAATTATCCGGAGCTTAGAAATAACATGTTGGCCACAAGTTAAAACAAAAAAAACAAAATGCTTATTTAGATTCGCGCTCAGATATATATTTTGTTATGCACGTTTAAACGGAAACTTACATCTCATTGAGGTAGCATTTGTTTTGTTTTGTTTTGAATTGAGCATAGATGTTTCAAATTCATATGTGTATGATTCATTCAATAACATAGTGATTAATCTGGACACGCGTCAATTCGATATTCTACAGTTGTTAATAAGGAACGTCCATTTTGGGATGAGCATACATGCTGTAGCCAATGCGACTGACAGTGTTATAGCAACCACAGAATGATTCTAGATTTGTTTTAGTTTGGCTTCAACTTATTTCGTTTTAAAACGTTGATTATACAAATAAACGTGTGGAATATACTAGTTTTGACAATTAATATGAATTTTGTGTGATATTCATTGCGTTTTATCTGGATTTATTAGTGATGTCTTTCTGGAGTAAAGTTTGTTTATTTCTAATTATATGGTTAGTCAATTACATTATTTAAAGGAATATTTTTCTTTGCTGTAGTATTGAGGATATTTTTTAATTCTAGACATTGTCTTTTTAATTTATGTTTTGATTTGGTTTATTATTGTTTATTTGATATCGATCATGCAATAGATATGTTTTAACTTGTGACGGTATATAAGTATCAAGGAATTATGAAGAAATTATTTTCGCAGATCTGAAAAAGAATACCAAATAAAACAAGAATTAATTTATGCCGACGTTGTGTTGGGAAAATTGATATTGTAAAAGTAGTAAAACACATGTAAAGAAAATATAAGAATAAATTTAGACAGATACTCGGTAATTTAGAAAATGTATTTGTTTACTGACATTAGATGATCTATATTATAGACAATATCGTGCCATAATGGTATTTGCCAACCCTCCGATAAAAAGCTAAAAAGCCGTTGAATTATTATTTTGTTTAATTTGAACCAGGATGTTTTCATTTATTTTGTTAGGATGTATATATACCGGCTGTATCAGACGTAAGACATTTCTGTAAGGAGTATTTAGTGATCAAATAACTTTGTAATTATGTACGTAAAAGACTGTGATGATTTTGCTTCTTTATGAATTAAACATATTCTTACAATGACCCTAATTTTTTTTGTAAATAATGTATAACCTTACAATCAAGGTTGTACCGTTATGTTTATTCAAATATAAGTTTAGTTAAGAAATATATGAGTGAATGAAATAATATCTTACAAACTATTGAAAAGATGTTACTTGATTATTTAACAAAGTGCCTTTCAGTATTCAGGGAAATCACAGTAGAATTACAAATATTATACACAGTAACCGGACTATATCTGGATGAGGGTAAAAAATATATCTTAAATAAGTGGAAGTATACACCGTCGCTTTTTACAAAAAGCACATAAAAAGTACTAGTGCGCAATTTGTTTTGTATGTAAGATCAAAACATATGTCACTTGTGAACACTAATTTTAATATTTTCATTCATGGCTACGCCACCCGTAAATATATTACATCTGGTATTAACTAGTTTAATCATATTTCGACCTTATATACAAAACAAGCAAATATATTCTATATAATAAACGTCTTAGTGATATAAATGTGCATCGATGTGTACTATAATTTCCTTATTGTAAATCATTTAATCAGTCATAAACGAGGGTTTGATTCCCTCATACAAGCATTATAAAACGGGATGGATTGACTGGCTCCATTTAAATAAATTAAGAAATGAATAGAAAAATGAATTATGTTATTTATTATCATATAGATTAAGTAAACGAACAATAAGATAATAAAGAAACAATATAAATATATATTAAATAAACAAATGTGTAATTTTTCTTTTGTATATTTGCAATGTTTTGTGTTTTCTTTGCTTCATATTCCCAATTTATTTCAGTTATTAATATCTTAGTATTCATTCAATATTAGTTTAAACATATTTATTCTCAGAATATGTACATAATAACATTTGAAATATATACACATACAAAATTTGACAATATTCAAAGAAGAGGATTAGAACGAAAGACTAGGTCTTATAGAATTCTTCTCCGTTTATTGTTAAATATATCGGTGTCGAACTGGTGATGTAAAATTTTCTGAGAAAAATATATATTACCAAACGTATAATAGAAACAAATATATATGGAGTATGAAAGAAGCAGTAATCCAAAAGAGAAAAAGGGGAAGGAGAGTCTCATAATTAGTTGTTATGTGTTAAATCGTTAAAGGAATCTTTTAGTTTTTGCTATAAAAGAATGCACGTTAGGAATATTGTTGAATTATCATCATCTGATAGGCCAGGGTTTCCGAAGAGAAGACTATCGAGATTGATATCAAAAGCTTGAATATTAATAAATAATTCATTTCGGTACAAATTGTAGCGATAACATTCAAAGAAGAAGTGATAGTTGCTTTCGACTTGACCACATTCACATAAACGTAAGGGTGATATGTTTCTTAGAAAAAGATGATAATTTAAAGAATTGCATTTTGTGCGAAGACGTGTTTGGAGAACCTGTAATTTTCTGTTACCAGAATAGTAGTATTTTGGTGTGCGTTTCCTGTTACGTGTTAAGAAGTTCTTGAATGATGAAAGTGTTTCTAAGTTCCGAACTTCGGTTGGTAAGTTGTTCCAATCGCGTATAGTAGAGGGAAGAAAGGAGAGGTAGTATAAAGAAGTTCGCGCATATATTCCAGCAGTATTATCAGAGTTACGTAAATTATACCTTGTATTAGTTTGATCAGGACTTAAGGAAGAGAGAAAGTCGGGAGTCAAATTGTTATGCATTTTATAAAATAGAATTAATCGGTGATTATACCGTCTTTGTTCTAATGTTTCCCAATTAAGTTCTTGAATTAAGTATTCGATAGAAACTAATCTTGTCGCACCTGAAGCAATCCTAGCACATTCATTCTGAATCTTATCTAAGCTTTCGAGTTCATATTGAAAAGCATTTCCCCAAATGACGTCTGCGTATTCAAGAATATGACGAATGAATGAAGTGTAAATTATCTCAAGAGATTTTCTGTCCAAAGAATATTTCAACTTTCGCATTATATTGACGCGCTTCCAAGCCTTTTCGGTTATATATTCAATGTGTGAATGCCAATTACAGTTATTAGAGAGAATAATTCCTAGGTGTTTATGATCGTTAACTTCTGGTAAATTTTGATTGAGCATATATAAAGAAGGGTGGTTTGCGTTATGTTTCCTAGATACATTAAGTGATTCTGTCTTTGATGGGTTGAATGTGACAAGCCAATTGTCTGCCCATGTTGTGATTTTCTGTATATCCGTTTGTAACTGTTGAGCTGCGACTAGTGGATTTTCTATAATAATATAGAGACTTGTATCATCAGCAAAATGGTTGACAGATGATTGGAGATCTAGAACAATATCATTTATGAAAATAAGGAATAGCAGAGGGCCAAGAATAGAACCTTGTGGTACTCAAGCTGAAAGAGTACCCCAAGATGATTTTGAATTAGATATAACTACACGTTGACGCCTATTAGTGAGATAGTTAGTAAACCATTCGAGGAGGCTGCCGGAAACACCTGCATATTTGAGTTTTGAAAGTATACCTTTATGCCAGACTTTATCGAATGCTTTACTGATATCAAAGAAAATAACCCGAGCTTCTAGACCATTGTCAAGTGCTTTGCACAGTGTATCATAGATAAAAACAAGTTGATTAACAGGAGAGTCGCCAGGAATAAAGCCGGATTGAACAGGAGTAAGAAAGTTGTTAGCTTGGAGATGGTTGAAAAGATGTTTGAATATTAGCCGCTCAAAAACTTTTTCTATTTTATTAAGAAGAGAGATAGGGCGGTAATTATTTGGAAGAGAGGAGTCACCTTTTTTAGAAATTGCAGATATATGAGCTACTTTCCATGTCGATGGTACTTTACGACAAAGAAGTGAGGCATTAAACAAATCACAAAGAGGTTGAGAGAGTTCATGTGACGCTTCGCGTAGAATTCTATTACTAATACCATCAGGACCGGATGCTTTTTCAATATTTAATGATCTTAGGACATTTTCTGTTTCAGTTTCAGTTAGTGTAATTTCAGATAGTGAAGTTGTTGTCATTGATGGACCGCAAGATCAGGTACATGCTTATTTGAATCTTCAATGAGTGTTTGTTTAATAAAATAGTCGTTTAATAAATTTGCTTTGTTTTCATCTGTAAAGTTTAGTTCGAGTGTTTCTGGATTTTGCAATCGGGGTATTGGAGTTATTTGTTGTGATGATATAAATAAATTTTTAACGTTTTCCACCAGTCTTTAGACGATAATGATCCTCTTTTGAGTTTATCCGATAATTTGCAATAATAATTTGATTTAGCTTCGCGAATTAATAAAATAGTTTCATTTCTAAGTTGTCGGAATTTTTGCCAATGATGTAAAGACTGTGTTTGTTTTGCTTTTCTGTAAATGCGTTTTCGTTTTCTAATGTGGCTTCTTACTGTACTAGTCATCCATGGAGCATCTGATGGTCTTACATGTATTTGTTTATTTGGTATATTAATTTTTGCAATATTTATGATCTGATTTGTTATATTGTCCGCATATGTGTCTATATCTGCGTGAGTGCATGTATGCCAGTTATAATTTAGTAGATCTTGTCGGAGTTTATCAAAGTCACCTCGATTGTATTTCCACATAGTTCGTTGAAATCCACGTTGAGAGGGTTTTCTAAATTTGGGAAGACAAATACTGGGCGATGGAATCGATGTTCTTGGTTGAGAAAGTGTCCACCAACACCAGCTTTTACGATGTTGTTTACATTAGTTACAAATATGAGATATATTAATGATTGTGATGTTTCGGTAAAGTGAGTAGGTTCGTCAATAAGTTGACTCATATTAAATTGTGGTGTAATTGAGTTGATTTTTCTGTTTGAAGTAATGGTTAATGCATCATAAATGAGGTCACCTGTAAGGATAATGTCAGAAATATTTGTATCGATAGCAAGAGCGATTGAGTCTTCAACCTTATTACTGTAATTTGCATCGGCATTAGGAGGTCAATAAAATAGACCGAAGAGTACATGTTTGTTATTTTTTAGGAATCAATTCCAATCCAGATACACTCCAAGTTATTAATTTCTAAGTTGTAATGTCTCTTATAATGGCAGATTTTCTCGAACATAGAGGATAACTCCGCCATGAGAATCACCAATCCGATCTTTTCGTTCAGGAGTATTGTAAGATAAGAGTTTAAGATCATCAGACGATATTGTATTGTTCAGCCATGTTTCAGAGAAGGCAAGAATATCAAAGTCAACAAGTTCGGAATAAAGAATGTCAAGTTTATGTCGTATGCTTTGTACATTTAGGTGGACAAATGATAAGTGATGTGATATGCTAAATGTTGTATCAGTATAAGATGAGCTTGTAGATTCAGGCCCTGGGTGTTCATGTATATCTCCCGCCAGAAGTAATAATAAATAAAACCACGTACACAAAATACTCCTG